TCCATGTGGTACTATGCTGCTGATATGTGGATACAGGCCCGCGGTCTACTGCCAGCGGCATTTGCATCGAATGCCGTGGTGGTATACACGCCGGTCTATAAGCGCAGATCCGCCATCTCATCCATTACCGAGCTGAGTACTGTAATACATACATTGTACATGCGCATGGCCCAATTGCAGCCCTCAGAGCTTTAATTAAGCCACACGAGAGACATATGAATAACACTCATATATGACACATTTAAAGTTCAACCAACAATACAAAATTTCCATGACACTCCCTCCTGTTTTATCATATTCTCCTCGTGTCCCTTCTTGATCTTCTTCAGCTTGATGGGTGTAGTCTCAAAACCTCAAAGAGTTCCTGTAGTTGTCCCTGAGAATAAAGCTCCACGGGGTTCCTGAAACAACAAGACCCGACGCAGACTCGATGCAAACAGGCTTGATTGAAGCAATGATCCTCAAGAGCGTTGGAACCTTCACTACAGGAAGGCTCTTGCAAAAACCACAAACAGACTTGTGGTATGAATAAGGCTTGTGATCCCACGGTGGTCTGGGGAGATCCAGCAACAGATTCTCAAATTGCCCCTGCAGACGGGGCCACACAAGGCTGGTCTCGACCCAGACAGTTTTCCAAATCGCAGACACAAACCATGATGAGGCTTGAAGCTTGCTTGGAGGTCTTGGAGAATGTGGTCTTCAGGGAGATAAATTAGAGGGAAGCCAGGATGTAATCTGTAGAGAAGGTGGTTGGTTGGTGAGGTCTTCCTCTCATCAGTGGTTGGAGTGGGATCCCAGGAGCGGGCATGGAGATGTGGTCGTCTGCCCGAGCTTGGCTTACACGGTCGATGAGGCAACAGGAACATCTCACCGCGGCATATAAGAGGCAGAGGAAAAAGAGAAGCATCAGGATATACACTCCCACTTCCTTCAACCAAGATCCGATGGAGAACAGGAAATCTCCCAATCCTCCCAAACCCTTGAACGGATTCCAACCCTCACTAGCTATAGCTCTAGCTTTTCCCTGTAGTTCACTAACTTTGTCCATATGGGCCTGGACCTTGTCATCGGTGTCTTCTATCCAAGTACAACAATCTTCTCCGATGAACTCACAGAACCCCCCTTTGGCGGCTTCTTGTGGACCATCAACTCTTCATGATCCATCACTACATAGGATGCGGGGACTAGCTTTATGAGGGCACACGAACCTTTCGCGTTCTGGGGAAATGTTCTATAGGCTGCCGAACCACACAGAAAATAGTATGGACCTGTCAGAGCAGAGCAGGAGGAGTTCTTCGTTCGGCCTCTGGCACTGAGTAACAGTTGCACAGACTGGGGGATTGCTCCCTCAGTCTGCACATCACATCCGTCCTTCCAACAACGTGGTCTGGTCGGTCAGTGTGGTTACTCAGAAGGGAAGTCTGGTTAGTCAGATTGACAGTTATACCTCCCTCGCAGGTGGTAGTCCCAACAAACTTGTTACCTGTGCCAAAGCTGATGTTAAAGCACACCTGAGGGCTGCCTAGCTGTCCAGTTACCCATAATGGACTGGTGAAGGCCCTACAGGAGCTAGAGCTATTATTGGTGCTAAAACTGATGTTACCTGCTAAAAATGTGTCATTAAGTTCTACAGACAAATGTCTACGTGGGGGCTGACCAGGGGTCCTTTGCTTTTTCATGCCGACGCGGATGTCATATAGGGCATGAACAGCAGCCATTGCAGACATGTGATGACTGGGTGGGGGCTTAGAGCATACCCAACAGTTGGTTTTGTTGGCGGTTCTGGCTAAACGCAGATGCATTTTAAATAAAAGGTTGGGGTATCTGCCGTCTTTTCCTCCGTTCACACACATGTAAGACATACAAGCAAAAAGAAAAAGGAAAATGTGATACCCCTCATTCTCTGGTGTAGCTGAAAAGCTTCTTGCAGTGGCTTGCGTGCACCCAGTTGTCTCGTCCCTCGAGCTTGAATGAGGTAGGTGTCGTCAGCTGGAATTGGTATGGTCCGGTGAACCGTGGCTCGAGTCCGGTTCTTTGATGTTTCTTTAAGACGACCCAATCACCTGGCTCAATAGAAAGAACACCCATTATTGCATTTGGATCGGGGAGCGATTCGCGAACCCGATGGTGTATCTTCTGCAGCTCCCGTTGCAGAGATTGCACGTAACCTGTAAGCTGTGAATGCAAAGACGACAAACTGTTGAGGAAAGTACAACCCTGTTTTGGGAGGTCCCCCAAACAACACCTCGTAGGGTGACAGCCCATGTGGTTGCCAAGGGGCATTCCGGATGGAATAGGGGGCAATGGGGGGACACTCAGGCCAGTGCACAGAACTGGCAATGGGGGGACACTTTAGCTGTGCACAGAACTCTTTGCCCCCTGAATTCATCTCCTCATGAGTGGTTATAGAGCACCCTGCAATCACTGCACTGGCCACTTCCATGCCCACCTTCGCCCGCAGGATCTGCGCACAATCTGACCCGCTCATACCATAGCTGAACTGGTTTTGTCCAAACATTCGAGCAAATCCTCTCGGATTGACTCGATAGTCCGGGAGCTCAGCAGAATAGTGCGGATCTCTGCCGGGGTGAAGGGGACATGCCAAACTACCCGTTCACCTAAAGTCCGCTCCCCCTGTGCATTGGGAGGACCTTCAAATTGCTGCACCCTGACTGGATAGGTCTCGGTCCGGGAAGAGTGCAAGGGCTGGCCCAGCTTCATCGGTGGGCTTAGATTAACCACCTCGCTTACTGCACCTTCAGGTTTGAGGTCCCTCAGATCAGGGTATAGCTGGGGGGCAGGGGTCTGATCAGTTGTTCGTAGCGCTTTGATGCAATCCGCCCTGTTTCTTAACTGGGTGTCTATTCCCCTTGATTCACAGATAGTCTGCAAATCGTTGTTGAGAAGGCTTCATAGTTGGAAACAGAAGGAGCTGGGGTGAAGCAGGGAGAAGGGAGAGGTAGAGGTAGAGGTAGAGGCTGAGGCATAGATACAGAAGACACGGAAGGTACATCAAGAGTGACGTCACTAACAGAAGAGACAGGTGCAGTTATACTTATCTCAGCCACTGTTGGTTGTTCGGGAACCCCAGCAGACCCTGATCCTGCCTGCCTTAGTAGAGTCAGTCCTGAAAGAGCTTCCTCCACCTCTGACAGCGGATCCTCCTGTTTTATTCCCTCTGGAGGCCAGGTATACATCACCTGGTTCTTCCGGACAGACACCAGTTTATGTATGCCCTGCTTCCCTAATTGGATTGACCTGTGAAGCCATAGCTGTGCGATCTCTAGTTCTGACGCCTGCATCCGTGGTCCAAATTCAGAGATGAATTTTTCCCACCTCCATGCGTCAAATGTACCTTCCCAGAGAATTTCCCATCTGGTACCCTTCGACCATTTATTCCACCTTTTGAGGGGTTCTGTAGACTTCCCCCCCAAACTCACCTTCATCAGTTGTGCAACTGTCCTTACCCTGAAGAGGGCTGGTTCCCCCTCTCTCTTCATGGACTGACTACTGCCCATCGTGACTAGTCACTGGTATATATCCCGTGTCCGGGTACCTCTTTACCCCCTGGAGCACTCGGTGGGATCCTACCGAGAGGCCTGATTCCACCACTTTCCCAGCACAGCGTAATTTATGTGATTCTTATCGATCACCCGAAGCGCATCAAGAGGCGGTCAGACTGAGAGCACACCTCCCACTCCCACAGCGCAATTTATGTGATCCTGACCACCCGAAGTGTTTGTGGTAACCAGGCTAAGTGTTACTCTTCCCTGGACCGCCCACTCGCACAGCGTTATTTATGTGGTTCTCATCACCCACTGTGTTTGGCAGGCCACACCGCACTGTCAGAGCTCCAGGGTATGACCAGAGGTATGTGACTGACGCAGGGAAACGCAGGCTTCAGATAAGTTATAAACAATATAATTTATTAAGGACTAACAATACAAACATAAACGCAGTGCAATACTAAAACATAACACAGTGCAAACGAACCAAACCAAACCACCCACAGATAACAAAACATACAATGCAAGCATCATCAGGCAGGCCGGATCATAAACAGGAGGTCAGAACGTATGGGGTAAAGCAGGAGAATGGTCAGACAAAGCCAGGGATCAGAGCAGGAGAATGGTCAGACAAAGCCAGGGATCAGAGCAGGAGAATGGTCAGACAAAGCCAGGGATCAGAGCAGGAGAATGGTCAGACAAAGCCAGGGATCAGAGCAGGGTCAGCAACGAATCAGACAGGAACAGGAACAGGAACAGGAACAGGGTTGCAGGAACAGGATACAGGGCCCAGGAAAAACACACACCAAGGCAGAGTCTGCAGGTCTGGCCATCCCTTAAATACACCAGCATAAGCAGTTTCAGGTGTTTGGCTGGCTGCAAGGTTGAGTCTCTGATTGCTGGGAGCACCCGCTGGCCAGCCCTGGTACTGCAGCCCATAAGGCAGGTGAGTCCCACCATTGCTGGCCAGTCCATTCCTGACAGTACCCCCCCCTCAAGGAGCGGCCTCAGGACGCTCCAAACAGTCATAGCTGGGCAAAATGTTCCACCGCCCGGGTCTGGTAACTGGCGGGATATCAAAGACTGGCACACCGGGCAGGACTCCGGGCAGCGGCACACCGGGCAGGACTCCGGGCAGAGGCACACCAGGCAGCGGCACACCGGGCAGCGGCACATCGGGCTGGACTCCGGGCAGCGGCACATCGGGCTGGACTCCGGGCAGAGGCACATCGGGCTGGACTCCGGGCAGAGGCACATCGGGCTGGACTCCGGGCAGAGGCACATCGGGCTTGACTCCGGGCAGAGGCACATCGGGCTGGACTCCGGGCAGAGGCACATCGGGCTGGACTTCGGGCAGAGGCACATCGGTCTGGACTCCGGGCAGAGGCACATCGGATCACCAGGCGAAGCAGCAGGCAGCGGGCCACCAGGCGGAGCAGCAGGCACCGGGCCCCCAGGCGGAGCAGCAGGCACCGGGCCCCCAGGCGGAGCAGCAGGCATCGGGCCCCCAGGCGGAGCAGCAGGCATCGGGCCCCCAGGCGGGGCGACAGGCATCGGGCCCCCAGGCGGGGCGACAGGCATCGGGCCCCCAGGCGGGGCGACAGGCATCGGGCCCCCAGGTGGGGCGACAGGCATTGGGCCCCCAGGCGGGGCGACAGGCATCGGGCCCCCAGGCGGGGCGACAGGCATCGGGCCCCCAGGCGGAGCGGCGGGCGCCGGACCCCCAGGCGGAGCGACAGGTCTCGGGCCCCCAGGCGGAGTGGCGGGCGCCGGACCCCTAGGCGGAGCGACAGGTCTCGGGCCCCCAGGCGGAGCGGCGGGCGCCGGACCCCCAGGCGGAGCGACAGGTCTCGGGCCCCCAGGCGGAGCGGCGGGCGCCGGACCCCCAGGCGAAGCGACAGGTCTCGGGCCCCCAGGCGGAGCGGCGGGCGCCGGACCCCCAGGCGGAGCGACAGATCTCGGGCCCCCAGGCAGAGCGGCGGGCGCCGGACCCCCAGGCGGAGCGACAGGCACCGAGTCACCAGGCACGACAGTGGGCTCCGAGTCAACTGGCATGACCGCTGGCACTGGGTCAGACAATGGATCGTCTGGCTGGACAGCGGGCATCGGGTCACCAGGCATCAGGTCATTTGGCTCGACAGCGGGCACCACGTCATCTGGCAAGGCAGTGGGCTCCGAGTCAACTGGCATGACCGCGGGCACTGGGTCAGACATTGGATCGTCTGGCTGGACAGCGGGCATCGGGTCACCAGGCATCAGGTCATTTGGCTCGACAGCGGGCACCGCGTCATCTGGCAAGGCAGTGGGCTCCGAGTCAACTGGCATGACCGCGGGCACTGGGTCAGACATTGGATCGTCTGGCTGGACAGCGGGCATCGGTTCACCAGGCATCAGGTCATTTGGCTCAATAGCGGGCACCGCGTAATCTGGCAAGACAGTGGGCACCAAGTCACCAGCACGACAGTGGGCTCTGAGTCAATTGGCACGACAGCGGGCACCGGGTCATCAGGTACCGGATTGTCTGGCTCGACAGCGGGCATCGGGTCACCAGGTATGACAGCGGGCACTGGGTCACCAGGCATCAGGTCATTTGGCTTGCCAGTGGGCACCGCGTCATCTGGCAAGGCAGTGGGCACCAAGTCACCAGGCACGACAGTGGGCTCTGAGTCAATTGGCACGACAGCGGGCACCGGGTCATCAGGTACCGGATTGTCTGGCTCGACAGCGGGCATCGGGTCACCAGGTATGACAGCGGGCACTGGGTCACCAGGCATCAGGTCATTTGGCTTGCCAGCGGGCACCGCGTCATCTGGCAAGGCAGTGGGCACCGGGTCACCAGGCATTGGATCGTCTGGCTCGACAGCGGGCATCGGGTCAATGGCCTAATAGGATCATCAGGCTGGATCAGTTCATCAGGATGGGTAGAAACATCATGCTGGGTAGAGGCATCAGGTTGAGTAGAGGCATCAGGCTGAGTAGAGGCATCAGGCTGAGTAGAGGCATCAGGCTGGGTACAGGCATCAGGCTGGGTACAGGCATCAGGCTGGGTACAGACCTCAGGCTGAAGTACGGGTGCCGAGGCACCAGGCTGAACCACGGAAGGCCGGTTCTCAGACGGCAGGCTGACCGGTTTGGATACTGGCAGGATGGTACTGGTTGGAAAGAATTTTCGCTTTTTTCTGGTTTTAACTACTGGGGCACTGCAAGTAAACGCAGGTCTGCAAACGAATGGAGCAGCTGGAGACAGAGAAGAGCTGGAGGATGGAACAGGGGAGTGAACAGTTGCTACAGAGGACTTCTTTACAGGGTTAAAGGCAGGATAGGTGCAGCGAGTGGGAACAGGGTACTGACATGCGGTAGATAGCAGGGCAGGAGGAGCTGTTGGGAATGCAGGAATAGAGCTTTGAGGAAATAGATTAGAAGCAGGACTGGGTTTTTGCAAGCTGACTGAGGCTGGGTGCAACAAGTCTGACCATGTCTGCAGTATGGGTTGAACAAAGTTCAGCTTACACAAAGCCTGTCTGGTCAATGACTGCACTGCGTTTATACAATCTCTTAGTATCTGTGGTGAACATGCAGAATAACGCTCCAGAAAGTAATCCACATTATCCTCTAATAACCATACCAGAGACTCTACCTGGTCGGCACTAAATGGCGACAAAAATTCATCCCTGCATTTGGGGGTACCAGATGAAACCAACTCCGCACAAACCTGAATCAATGGCTGCACCTCAGAGAATTCTGTGCCCTGATCTACATTCTAGCAGTTCATCCCTGGGATACTCCTTCAGAGTCTGATAAGCATATTCTCTGTCATAAAACACTAGCAGATATAAATACACAACCTCATCAAGATCCATCCTTCCCATCAACAAAACCAAGATGGTTTCCCTGTGCAGCCACTTCTGGTCAGGATTGGCCTTGGTGTAATGTCAGAGCTCCAGGGTATGACCAGAGGTATGTGACTGACGCAGGGAAACGCAGGCTTCAGATAAGTTATAAACAATATAATTTATTAAGGACTAACAATACAAACATAAACGTAGTGCAATACTAAAACATAACACAGTGCAAACGAACCAAACCAAACCACCCACAGATAACAAAACATACAATGCAAGCGTCGTCAGGCAGGCCGGATCATAAACAGGAGGTCAGAACGTATGGGGTAAAGCAGGAGAATGGTCAGACAAAGCCAGGGATCAGAGCAGGAGAATGGTCAGACAAAGCCAGGGATCAGAGCAGGAGAATGGTCAGACAAAGCCAGGGATCAGAGCAGGAGAATGGTCAGACAAAGCCAGGGATCAGAGCAGGAGAATGGTCAGACAAAGCCAGGGATCAGAGCAGGGTCAGCAACGAATCAGACAGGAACAGGGTTGCAGGAACAGGATACAGGGCCCAGGAAAAACACACACCCAAGGCAGAGTCTGCAGGTCTGGCCATCCCTTAAATACACCAGCATAAGCAGTTTCAGGTGTTTGGCTGGCTGCAAGGTTGAGTCTCTGATTGCTGGGAGCACCCGCTGGCCAGCCCTGGTACTGCAGCCCATAAGGCAGGTGAGTCCCACCATTGCTGGCCAGTCCATTCCTGACACGCACAATGATGAAAGTGGCTTTTCTCTCCCTGCACACAGTAGCTAACACAAGTCAAACCAAAAGGAGGGGTTCTTGGATGTTACTTAGGGGTCACTGGTTGGCCAGAAACCTGCTAACTGACCTTTAGGAAATTTGTGTAAAGAAAAAAACTTCCCTAATACACACAGAAAAACCCCTTTTCAACCTGAAAAACCGTTAAAAAGGACAAAGTGGATCCTTATGGAAAACACGGGACGTTTCGCAGTAAAACAATTACACAGAGGTGAACCGAAAACTGCTCCAAAAATAACCCTGTTGCTGACGCGAAAATCACTCCTACCAGCACCGCTAAACGATCTGCGCTACACACGCAATTTTCACTGCAACCACCTAAAACCGTTTACACAAAAAGTCTGCTGGACGCGAAACACGTGACGCAGCAGCTTAAAACAAAACCCGCTTTACAATAAGGAACTACTTTTTAACAAGAAAAACACAAGAAAAACATAATCACTATACAAGAAATCTATGTGCAAAAAACCCAAACTTCATCGCGCTCACTAAATGTGGAACACTTGAGGGAAAAACTCGCTTAACACTCTTTAAATTGGCTGGCAATACGCAAATTTTAAAGCTAAAAGCAAACAAATTAAACTGTAAAAAATTTGGATTAAAAACACAATATGGGTCAAATGCATATAGGAAACTTCATGCACATTGCATAGAGATTACTGCACATGTGGTAGTCAACAAAATGGCCACCAACAGGGAAAGCACATGGCAGTCAACAAAATGGCCACCAAACAAAAGGAGCACATGTGGTTAGTCAAGAAAATGACCCCCCACAGAGGAGCACATGGCAGACACTAGAATGGCCCCCCACAGAGGAGCACATGGTAGACACTAGAATGGCCCCCCACAGAGGAGCACATGGTAGACACTAGCCTCAAAATTGCCTCTAACCTCTTACATAAAACAGACTTTTGGACAAAACATACACTGGACAATTACACAACAATATACAGCACACATACAACACAATTTGGCACGATCACAGAACAGACATAAAAACACCAACATATCACACTAACATGCACATGTAACAGAAAGGACCCCCTGCTGCATGCTTGCTGGGAGCAGTAGTACTGACAAAACATTGCACAGACTACATACACACAAAGATCTTACAACAGTTTAACAATTAACCTAAACCTTTCAGCACTGTAATAATTACCTCACGTGGAGGGGGGTAGAGCAATTACCACAGTACCTACAACCCGCAAATACTTACCTAAATATGCAACAACTTTTACCCACTAAAACATATACCCGTTTCATTTTTGGTTGGAAGATTTTTAAACTTGACCAAATCCAGCCAACCAAACCCACCCCTCTGCTGCTCTCAGCAGAGACAAACCCTCGTCTTTCACCACAAAAACAAGATTTTAGGACAAAACTAGGTCCTTGCTAAGCGGAAATCATGTTAGCTAACAGAGAGCGAAATCAACCACATGAACACGCAAAAAGCGATCCTCTTAACGGCAGAGAGACCTGAAATGTGCCGGCATACTTTTTGCTAGTTCATGATGGCTCATTCCCCCCTCGTACTCGGTTAGCTATCCCAGAATTCGCGTTAGTATCCACTGGCTCGCCAAACTGTCTTGGAAATTCGCTTTAACGAATTTCTCCTTACCGTGAGTACTCGCAGTTGGATGCGCAGAAATCCCCCATAAAGCTGTGCGAATCTCGCTTACCACGACTGTAGCTAAACTACACGATTCCTGCCCATCCAAATGAGTTAGCTCTGTTGAAATGTGGGTGACTGGAGCTCAGTTACCCAAGAATGATCAGGCGACACTCTCAGGATGATGTTTGAATTCACATAGAGAAAATTTTCATTCTCCCCTCTGGTTTTATTACAAATACACACACGCCCCCCCACATGAATAAGGTCAATCCCCTCCCACAGAACAATGCAATGGGGAGTGCCTATACACAGGATGTACATTCCGATTGGAGCATAGCCTTTCCTATTATCTATCACTGGTCCTCCCCCATGAGCCTTCTGAGGTCAGCAGACTTCCTCCCCTTCCCCCCATGAGCCTTCTGAGGTCAGCAGACTTCCTCCCCTTCCCCCCATGAGCCTTCTGAGGTCAGCAGACTTCCTCCCCTTCCCCCCATGTGCCCTCTATGGAGAGCATATTTCCCAGCTCCTAGCAGTATGTTCACTCTCTGTACAAGCATCCCCTAGGAACATCAGTCTGTATCTGAATGGGCCCGATACGATCTTTATTAAAACACATCCATCCAGATACAGTTCAGGTCGGTAATGGGTTGTAAGATATGCATAAGCCTACACGCGGAGTTCACACCGCTTGGCGCCTTGAAGTCCATGTGGTACTATGCTGCTGATATGTGGATACAGGCCTGTGGTCTACTGCCAGTGGCATTCGCATCGAATGCCGTGGTGGTATACACGCCGGTCTATAAGCGTAGATCCGCCATCTCATCCATTAC